ACGCTGGGCATTGCGGTGGGGCCAAGTGCCAAGTATCACGACGCCGCGCGCCCAGGCGGGGCTCGACGTCAGCTGCCCCGCGCCTGCGAGTGAGAAGAGCACTTCGATGCGCGGCGTCCTTGGAGCAGCGCGGCCGGGGTTCTGCATGGCCGAACGGCAGGGCGGGATTGTCCATTGCGACGTCGAGCAACGCGACGGTATCCAAAGTCAATAGTCCGGCACTCATGAGTAAGACGAGCCGTGCATTGAACATTTTGTCCGTCAGCGGCACGTTCGCGACCAGGAGTGCTACGGCGTCCAGCAGCGCGACGGCTCCAGCGGGCGGAGCGCCGCAGTGTCGAACGCGACGGGGCCAGCACCAACGCCTGCACTCTTGCGTGTGTCGCGAGCGGCGCAGCGAGGGCCGTTGTCGGCCCGCCTGGGCTGGCGCGCGCGGGTGCCCTCAGCCTCGCGCCCGCGACTGCGACGAGCAGGGCCGCGTGCAGCGTGGCCCCCGGCATCGCCCGCGTGGCCGGCAGTCGCGCGCCCGCGAGCGAGACGGGCGAGGGGCGGTTTCGGCTCGTCAGTGCGTCTGGGCGGCAAGTCGTGCTCCGCCGCGGCGCGAGTGCGACTGGGCGGCGCGGGGCGCGCCATGGGCGATGGGGGCCGCCGGGGACTCGCCCCGGGCGTCGGGCCGACCGCGCCGCGCGTCCCGCGTGTGTTCGACCGCGCGGAACGCAGCCCGCTTCCCGCCGCCCACCCCCGCCTCCCGCCTTCCCCCCCTGCCGTCTGAAAGGCGCGCGGTCCACGCCCCAGGGCCCGCGGGGGGTGGGCGACGAGTCGCGGGCCAGGACCCCCCGGAGGATCTGCGCCGTCGCCGCAGCCCCGCAGGCTGGACAGAGCTTCCGCGCGCCCGGGCCCCCAACGCAACGCGTTCCGCCAGGGCCGACCGAGCGGGGTTCAGACCGAACAGCTTGCCCGCCCGCCGCCAGGCGCGGATGAGGCAGCCGAAGAAAGTGGCGGCCTAAGAACGAGTTCGGCTCGCGCCGAGGCAGCCCGGCCACCCGCCGCCAGGCGCGGTCGGCATGCCCAGCGCAGCCGACCCAAGTATGGGCGACGGGATTAATTGGAGCGAAGGCACCGCGGCCTCGCGACCACAGCGTCGCCGTCCACGCGAGGGCATCCGACTTGATTCCAGCGCGGGCTACCGAGCGGAGGCGTGCCACGGAGCGCCTTTTGGTCGGCAGTCGATCTGCCGACCCTGACCGATGGGCCGCCCGTGCTGCCAGCATCGAGGCGAAGCACCAGTGTGCTACCAGACTTGGTCAAGAGCTGCGTTGCACCCAGGATCAGTCAGGCCCCAGTTTGACATGTCCCAAACAGCACCGTCCGCTTGGATCGGCCGTCGTCAGGCTGAATCGCCCGCTCGCCCCGGGGCCTCTCCCCTGGCGAGCGACCAGGTATGCCTCGATGCTCTCGCATAGCACGCCAGCGCTCGCCTCCACTTGTTCGGAGTGCGCTGCTTGGACGGCATCTTTTCGGTAGCTCAAGCGCTGGGCCTCCGCGTGGGATGCCCCGAGGTGGCGTTTCCTCTGTCGCGGGCGGTGGGTCACGCATGCCAGAGCGCGTGTGAAGCTGGTTGTATTCTGCCTGACGGGCCCTCGAGTGGCCTGTTTACCACGTGCCCGCCTTGCTTTCCACTCGGGGTCTTTTCGACCGCGCCAGGAGGGGTAGCATCCCGCACCCGTTCTTTTAGCGGCGCCATCCGCCCTGCGAGGCAGGCTTGCGGAACCGTTTTTAAAAGTGCGAGGCCTGGGCCAGACAGACCTGGTCCGAACTGGTGCTCTCTCCTTCTCTGCCTCCTCGCCCCCCTCGCCCTCCGTTCCTGCTGCTCTGTGATATCATTCCTCCTCTCTCGTTTCCTGGCCCTTCTTCCTCTATTATGTTTCCCATTTCCGCCGATCTATCCCCTCATTCCATCTCCCTCTTGTTCCTGCCGCCTCCCCATGCTTGGCGGCTCCTGCGTTAGCGCAGCAACGCAGAGGCGGAATTGGAGGAGGAGGGGGAAGGGGAGGAGGAGGAGGAGGAGGAGGAGGAGGAGGAGGAGGAGGAGGAGGAGGAGGAGGAGGAGGAGGAGGAGGAGGAGGAGGGAGGAGAGGAGGGAGGAGGAGGAGGGGAGGAGGAGGAGGAGGAGGAGGAGGAGAGGGGGAGGAGGAGGAGGGAGGAGGAGGAGGAGGAGGAGGAGGAGGAGAGGAGGAGGAGGAGGAGGAGGAGGAGGAGGAGGAGGAGAGCAACGGCACCTCGGCGGGAAGTTGGCCCGTTCCCGCGCCAGGAGGGGGACCCGCCCATCCCGGACGCTCACTTCCATGTGGGGCTACGCAACCGCCTCCTGGCTGACGTCTGCACACCAGGGGCGCCCTGCCAGCACCACAGTCGAGACGGCTCAGTCTGTGGTGCTGCTCTGGACGCCACGGGCTGACACCCCCTGAAAAGCGGCCGCGGAAACTTTCGCGACCACCGACACAACAGCCTCTGCGATTGGAATGTGCTCTTCCACCGTGTGCAGACCAGCCACAGGGCGGTCACCTTGGCCCCCGTGGGCCCTGACACCAGAGAAGTGAAAGAGGCCCGCCTGGACCTGCCGACGTGCGACGGGGCTACCCGACAGCTTGTTTTCGTTGATTGGTCTGTGGGTTGGCCGCGCCGTAAGCTGTGGGCGTCAAGCGGAACCGCTATCCCCCCTTGGGAGGCGAGCTGGTCCTGGCCGTCTCGGAGTCGGGATGACGGCCGGCGGATGAGCTCGTCTCTTTCGTCCGCTCCTACAGCGCAAACTTCCCCGAGGCGGACAGTTCGGTTGTCATCGTCACCGCGTGGCGCCGCATCCAACGTGCGCTGGCCGTGGGCAGTTCGGAAATGATCCTTACCGCGTGCTACGCGCCCGCGGCGCAGGCCCGCGCGTCGACAGGGATGTGGCCGCAGGGCACCGCCCGCTCGGCTCCATCGGCGGCTCCCGCCCGGGCAGTAGCTCCGGGCCTGGCGGGGGGCGATCGCCGTCGGCCGCGCCGCGACCGGCGGCGCTAGTGTCGCTTTCGGCGCAACCACCAGGGCCAGGACCACCACGAGCACGACCGCCAGCGGCGAAGACATTCCTGACACGGCCACCACATCGTCCACCAGGACCATCACGACAATCACCACGACCACCGCAACTACAACGACCACCGCGACCACCACCGCAGCGACAGCCGCCACGACACCCCCCGCTTACGGCCGGCACTTCCACGACGTCCACGGCGATCTGCCCCCCGCCCCCCGCCCCCCGCCTCTTTTCATCCCCTCACTTTTCCCCTCAACCCTACTTGGAAGCGATTGCGAGCTGCTCCAGTTCTGTTTTGCTACCCGTGGGGATTTTAGTATGCGTGCATTCATTCGAGCATATGTAAGTCCATTATCTTGCGTTTTTCGAAACGGGGGTGGGGACCCACTCGGGTGCCCCCAGGTTTTCTGAGAGGAGGGGGAGGAGGAGGAGGAGGAGGAGGAGGAGGAGGAGGAGGAGGAGGAGGAGGAGGAGGAGGAGGAGGAGGAGGCGGAGGAGGAGGAGGAGGAGGAAGAGGAGGAGGAGGAGGAGGAGGAGGAGGAGGAGGAGGAGGCGGAGGAGGAGGAGGAGGAGGAAGAGGAGAGGAAGAGGAGGAGGAAGAGGAGGAGGAGGAGGAGGAGGAGGCGGACGAGGAGGAGGAGGAGGAGAGGAGGAGGGGGGGAGGAGGGAGGAGGAGGAGGAGGAGGAGGAGGAGGAGAGGAGGAGGAGAGGAGGAGAGGAGGAGGAGGAGGGGAGGAGGAGGAGGAAAAAAGGAAGATGCGGAGAAGCGGAGGAGGAGAGGGGAGGAGGAGGAGGAGGAGGAGGAGGAGGAGGAGGTGGAGGAGGAGGAGGAGGAGGAGGAGAAGCGGAGGAGGAGGAGGAGGAAGGAGGAGGAGGAGGAGGAGGACGAGGAGGAGGGAGGAGGAGGAGGAGGAGGAGGAGGAAGGGGTGGGGGAGGAGGAGCAGAAGGAGGAGGATGAGGAGGAAGAGGACGAGGACGACCTGGAGGTGGCGGATGCGACCATGGACATCGTCGTCGCCGTCGCCGTCGCCGTCGCCGCCGAGGCGTAGGGGGAACAGGAGGGGGAACAGGAGGTGGAGGAGGAGGAGGAGGAGGAGGAGGATGAGGAGGAAGAGAAGGAGGGATGGCTTTGTCGGCACGACACTCCAGCGAACAGCCGACACGGGAGGAGTAGGAGGAGGAGCAGGAGGAGGAGGAGGAGGAGGAGGAGGAGGAGGAGAAGCGGAGGAGGATGCGGAGAAGCGGAGGAGGAGGAGGAGGAGGAGGAACATGAAGAAACATACATAATAATAACAATCATAATGATAATACTAAGAATAATACTAATAATACTATTATTATTACTATTATCATTACTATTATTAATAATACTATTACGAATACTAATACTAACACTAATACTAATACTAATACTAATACTGATACTACTACTAATAACAATACTAGTAATACTGATAATCATAATAATAATGCTATTAACAATACTACTATTAAGAATACTAGTAATACTGATACTACTACTACTACGACTACTACTACTACTACTACTACTACTACTACTACTATTACTACTACTAATACTATTATTATTAATAATACGAATGCTAGCCATACTAATACGAATCATAGTAATACCAAGAAGAATAATACTAATCATACTAATTCTACTAATACGAATACGAATAATAATCATACTAATAATACTAATACTAATAATCAGAAGAAGAAGAGTAATGATATTATGAAGCATAATACGAATAATACTAATTATACTAAGAAAAAGAATAATAAGTGGAGGAGGAGGAGGAGCAGGAGGAGGAGCAGGAGGAGGAGGAGGATCAGGAGGAGGAGCAGGAGGAGGAGCAGGAGGAGGAGCAGGCTGTTCCCACCCTCCGCCGCCGTGCCGCGTGGCCGCCCCCACAGCCGCAGCCGCGGGCGCGGTGCCAAGCGGGGCCGCGCGGACGACCAGGCCGCCCAGGGGCGCAGCGGCTGCTGGGGCTCGGCTTGCTGCTTCTACTGTTTCCGTTCGCCCCCCTCCTCCTACGATGGCGGGCTTGTTTTTCCCCACCACCACCATAAAGTGGAGGGGGGAAAGAGGAGGAGGAGGATGAGGCCGGAGAGGAGGAGGAGGAGGAGGAGGAGGAGGACGAGGAGGAGGAGGAGGAGGAGGAGGAGGAGCAGGAGCAGGAGCAGGAGGAAGAGGAGGAGGAGGAGGAGGAGGAGGAGGGCGGAGGAGGAGGACGGAGGACGGAGGACGGAGGACGGTGTAATACGAAGGACGGATAACCGGACTACTAATAATAATATTATTATTAATATCATACTATGACTAATACTGATACTAACACGAATCAGAATACTAACAAGACTAACAATAGTAATACGAATGCGAATCATAATAATAATAATCTGACTAATAATCATACTAATAATTAGAATGATAGGAATAAGAGGGGGAAGAGGAGGAGGAGGAGGAGGAAAAGGAGGAGGAGGATGAGGAAGAGGAGGAGGAAGAGGAGGAGGAGGAAGATGAGGAGGAGGCGGATGCGGAGGCGGAGGCGGAGGCGGAGGCGGAGGAGGAGGAGGAGGAGGAGGAGGGCGGAGGACGGAGGACGGAGGACGGAGGACGGAGAGGAGGAGGAGGAGGAGGAGGAGGAGGAGGAGGAGGAGGAGGAGGAGAGGAGGAGGAGGAGGACCGCCTCCCCCTCTTACTTACTTATGTTGTTGGTGGTGGTGGAAAACAAACCCATCATACGAGACGCGCTTGCGGGCCTCGATAGCTTCGGTTGCTCTTTGCAGGTGGTCACGTGGCTGCCCTCTGCTGTCGTTCATCGTATACATTGTTCCTCCTCCTCCTGCTGCTGCTGCTGCTGCTTCTCCTCGTCGTCCCCCGCAAGTTGCAGCAGGATCTTTTTCCTGGAGCTTCTGCGCGCGGGAACGCACTTTGCCAAGGCGTTGGCCGCGGGCAGGGGGAACACGAGGCGGTAAAATGTACTTGCCAGCCGAGAGGAGCTCTGTGGCAATGCGAGGCGGCAGCACCGATCAGAGGATTGTTCAGGAGCAACACATATTCCTCTCCCACCCCCTCCTGCTTCATCCTTGTTCTTTCGGCGTCTCGTTAGAGCTGGCTGGGCGTTTCGCCGGAGACATCCTCAGTCCCAGCACCGCCCGCATTGGTCTCACAAGCTTGCATCAGTTTCACGGATGGTGTGTGTGTGTGTGTGTCGTTCTTTGTTGTTCGAAAAATGCGGTTCTCGCCCCGACGTTGCGCGAGTTCGCCTTGCCAGTTTTCATCGGTGTCACGGATAACGGTGGGGGGGGCGGGGCCGTTGTTAGAATGTAGTTCTTGCTTGAGCGTCGCGCACACTTGCGTCCATCCTTTCCAGCAGCTTCCACAGATGGAGGATGCGGGGGTTGGACATGTGATTCTCGCCATAGCGCTGCGCACGTTTGTGTCAAAGCTTGCAGCGGTTTCACGCATGGAGGGGGGTTGTTTTCAAAGTGAAGTTAACCGCCTTATCTAGGTTCGCGCGCGCCTGTCTCACAGCATTGCAGCAGCTTCGCAGATAGAGGGCGGTTCTTCTTCAAAAGGTGGTTGTCGCCTTAGCGCTACTTGCATTTGTTTTTCAAGTTTGCAACACATCCAAGGGTGGCATAGGGGCGGGTTCCAAACTGTGGTATGCTTTGACGCAGTGCCATCCTTGCAGCAAAATGTAAACAATACGCATCCTCTCTACAGATGTAGGGCAATTCCTTTTCAAAGTCAGGCGCCGCCAGCACTCGTTTCAACGTTTCGCACCAGTCGCACGGATTGAGCATTGATCGTTCTTATAGAATGAGGTTATCGTCTCAGCGCCGCGCAGATGTTTTATAGTAGCGTTTAGCAGGACGGATGAAGTGTTGGTTGCCTGTTGTTGTTTCTTTGTCAACACGGTTTCTCGTCTGGAACCAGCACTTGGATCTTCATGGCACGTACCGCTGCGCGGATCCATGACGACCGCGTTTCAAAATGGAATTGTCGTCTGAGATGTCCCCGACGTTCGTGACCAACGTGTAGACGTTTGCAACAGCTGCACGGATGGGGTGCGGCCTTGCTTCGGAAAGGGCATACCGTTGGACAGCTCGCTAACCTGTCTGATCACCGTCTTTCGCTTTTCTCACCACGCGCCGGAGATGCACGGCCATTCGTATTCAACGCGGGACCCTCGCCAACATGGCAAGCTAATTCAGTTGGTCTTTCAAGGGGGGACGCTTCTTGCAAGGAGTTGCGGGGACATGAGGAGGGTGTTTTGGACGGGAGGGTGCACTGCAACGTGCACCATGCATTGTACGTATTTTGTTTACTCTGGTCCTCCTCCTCCTCCTCCTCCTCCTCCTCCCCCTTCTTTCCCCCTCGTCCTGCTGTTCCACGAAGGGCGCTGCGGGTGGCAGCGTCAAGTGGCAGTCTCTCGGTCTCGTGCCACTGGCGTCGCGCGCCTCATCGCATCGGGACGCGGTGGTTCATTTTGCGGCTACGTGCGCGACGGTGTCTACAGCAAATGTCGCAGGCCTAGAGGTTGACACCAACACTCATATCGGCTGTGTGCCTCCACCGAGGGAAGAATATCCCGATCTTGGTGATGGTGGTAACATTCTGGCCTCCCAGGTGACCGAAGTATTACCACCAACACCGAAATCTAAGATCATCTTCCCCCTGTGGAGGCAACCATCTGTGTTGGTGTTGGTGTCCATTTCCAGACCTCCTAACATGGTGGTTGTTTTGTCGGCTGCGTGTGCGGGCCCGACGGCCTGTTCATCCCCCTTCCCATTACCTATACGACCACCCTTCGGGTGATAAGGAGGTTATGGGGGGGGGGAAGAGAGGGGGGGGAACCAACATCTGACTGAATCGATCTCACTATCGATCTCACTCAACGGGACACCACGGGACACCACGGGACACCACGGTCGATCTCACTATCGATCTCATTATCGATCTCACTCAACGGGACACCACGGGCCACCACGGGCCACCACGGGACACCGCGGTGCATCTCTCGATCTACTATCGGTCTCACTATTGATCTCATTATCGATCTCACTCAACGGGACACCGTAGGACACCACGGGACACCTCGGGACACCACATCGATCTCATTATCGATATTACTATCGATCTCACTCAACGGGACACCACGGGACACCACGGGACACTGGCGGGACACCAACGGGACACCAACGGGACACCAGCGGGACCCCGCGGGGCACCGGCCGCCGGAGGAGTTACATTTGGCCCAGCCGCGGCCCAGCCACAGGAGGATTTCGGGACACCCGCGGGACACCGGCGGAACACCGCGGGGCACCGGCCGCCGGAGGAGTTAAATTTGGTCCGGCCGCGGCCCAGCCACAGGAGGATTTCCTCTCGCCCGCCCACGCAGCTTCGTCTCGCCCGCACGCACGCACGGCACGCACGACACGAACTCGAATCCGAAATCGATTTCCCGGTAGGGGGGGTCTCCGTTTCACGTCGGGTTCACCCCCCAACCTCCGATCCCCTGTCTTACTTTTTTTCCCTCCTTTCCTTCCCTCCCCTCCCCGTCGTTCTCCCTCTCCCCCTCCTCTCCTTTTTCCTTTTTCCCATCCGTTGACCGCCTCCGCTGTCATCGCCGTCGCCGTTGCCGCCGTCGCAGGCGCCGTGGCAGCCGCCGTCGCCGTCCGCGCCGTCGCCGTCGCAGCCGCCGTTGCTGCCGCCGCCGCGGCTTCCGCCGTCGCCGTCGCCGCCATACTTTCGTCGCCGTCGTCGTCGACGTCGACGTCGTCGTCGTCCTCGTCTGGAGGCCCCGCGCGCGCGCGAGGCCAATGGCAGCAGGCGGAGCGGCCGCGGCGAGCGCTCGCGGAGCGGCAGCAGGAGCAGATCGGTTTCGCGCAAGAAAAGGAAGTGGGCCCGTCGCCGCCGTCGTCGCCGCCGCCGCCGCTGCGGCCGTCGCTGTCGTCGCCGCGTCGGCCGTCGTTGTCGTCGTCGTCGTCGTTGTCGCGATCGCCTTCGCCGTGGCGCCGATGATGGAGGAGGAGGACGAGGAGGAGAAGGAGAAGGAGGAGGAGGAGGGCTGAGGAGGAGCAGGCGGAACATGAGCATGAGAAGGATGAGGGGGAGAAGAGCTGATGAGGAGGGAGGAGTCGATGATAGCGATCCTGATGATGACGGTGAGGAGGAGAAGGAGGAGGAGGGTTATGATGATGATGCTGATGATAATGATAATGATGCTGATTGCGATGTGAGAGTGATGATGAGAATTATGGTGAGGATGAGGATGACAATGATGCTGATACTGATGATGATGGTGGTGGTCGCGATGGTGGTGAAGGTGCTGAAGGTCTTGAGAAGGATGATGAGGATTGGGATTCGTATGAGGATGCGTTTGATAATGGGGATGGGGATGAGGATGATGCTGATGCTGATGATGCTGCTGATGCTGATTATGATGCTGTTAATGACGACGCTGCGAATGATGACGATGCTCATGACGCTGATGCCGATTCTGACGAAGATGTGATGCTGATGATGCTGATTATGATGATGTTGTTGTTGCTGATGATGATGCTAATGATGATACTGATGATGTCGATAAGTATGGCGCCGCTGATGATGATGATTATGATGTTGATGCTTATACTGCTGCTTATGCTGATGCTGCTGATGATGAAGATGCTGATGGCGCTGATGACGATGATTGCGATGGTGATGATAATGCTTGTGATAATGATGATGCGGGTGATGATGAGGGCGAGGATGAGGATGATGATGATCAAGATGAGGATGAAGATGGGGCTGGTGGTCATGTGGATGATGACGATGCTGATGATGACGATGACGAAGATGATGATCCTGATGATGATGATTATGATGATGATGATGATGATGATGATGATGATGATGATGATGATGATGATGACGCTGATGATAATGATGATAGTGATGATGCTGCTGCCGATAATGATGATTGTGGTGGTGGTGGCGATGCTGATGATACTGGTGATGGTGATACTGATGGTGATGGTGGTGATGATGATGCTGATGCTGATGCTGCTGATGATGAAACTGCTGATGATGACGATGCTGATGTCGCTAATGACGATTCTGACGATGCTGATGATGATGCTTATGATGATGATTATGAAGATGATAGTGATGATGTTGATGTTGATGCTGATGTTGATGATGATGATGATGACGATGATGATGATGATGATGATGATGATACTGATGATGCTGATGATGATGAGGATGACGACGAGGATGATGATAGGGATGGTGATGACGATTACGATGATGATTATGATACCGGTGGCGCTGATGATGATGACGATGCTGCAGAAAATTGATGATTATGATGATGAAGACGACGATGATGATGATCATTACGATGATGATGATGATGATGATGATGATGATGATGATGATGATGATGCTGGTGGTGGTGGTGGTGATGATGATGCTGGTGATGGTGATAGTGATATTGATGGTGGTGATGATGATGGTGAGGATGATGATGATGATGATGATGATGATGATGATGATGATGATGATGATGATGGTAATGACGATGATGATGACGATGATGCTGCTGATCATGATGATGCTGATGATGCTGATTCGGAATGATGATAATGATGATGATGATGATGATGATGATGATGATGATGATGATGATGATGATGATGATGATGATGATGATGATGATGATGATGATGATGATTCTTGATGATGGATCTTGATGATGATGATGATGATGATGATGATGATGATGATGATGATGATGATGATGATGATCATGATGATGCTAGCGATCAGGAAGGTGGATACAAGAGAACCCGCAGTTTTCCATACATTTCAAGGCATTGTGAGGTGGTGGTCCAATTTGACGGGTCGACTTGCGCTGCGAAGCAGCACAGCACACGAAAGCGACTACGCAGCACAGTCCACCATACTTGCTTATTGACCGCCCCCCAGTTCACTGGCGCATGTTCAGCACGCGCTACAGTAACTGATGACTTCACTGTCTTGAGACAGAAGGCCTTCGCCCGCCCCATACCCGGCACGGGACTCTGCAGGACTATGCAGGAAAGGCGGTTCCGAATTCTATGAGCACAGTGGTGCTTTTGGCGGCGAGGGGCACCTCGGCGAGAGGATCAGCCCCTCGAGTGGGGAGCTTCAGCAGTCCGGCTGACGTCCGAAAACGTCCGAAAAGGAAAACGCCCGTGCCGCAGTGGCCCCCAGCGGACCCCAGCAGCCTCCATTATTGGGGCAGCCACGGCCAACGCGACCCCAGAGCGGTGGCGGCCGCACCGGAAGCGCCGCGCGGCGCACCGCCCTGGAGACCAGGGGCCCCGCGCAACAGCAGACGGGCCCCCGCCTTCTGCACCCCCCGCTCCCGGAGCTGGCGAAGGGTGCCTTCGCGCCTTGGAAACAGGCGTGCGAGGCCCGCCTGCGAGCGTCTCTGCACCTCGCCGCGCCATCGGAACAGGCGACGGGTGCCCCCGCTGAGGCCGTTGTCAAATCTTAGTTTTCATGACTTCTGATATCACTGTACGCTTGTACAAATAGGTTGATCTCTCAGTGACTTATTGATGGCAGCATCGCTGAGAAGAGCAACTACCAGGCAGCACTGCATAACGAAGGCAGCACCACGACTCAGCTCCTATACCTCACTTGACTTTCAAAGTCTGCTCAATTGTACTACCATTTCTTCCGAGCAAACGCAACAACCCGACCCACTGCACACTGCATCGCAGACAGTCAGCTAAACGGCCTGCCTCATAGGAACCCTCTGGGGCATTATTCGGGGAGAGGCCCATAGGGCTACAGTGGCACCGGAAAACATATGACAACAGTGCAGTGAAACAACCCAGGTAGCATGTTTCATACCTGGGACGGGAGCCATTGTGGCACGCCTCAGAGAGAAGCGTACAGGACACTGCTTTTGTCTTGCGGACCAGTACTCGTCTGACAAGGACCACCACTGCATTCTGACTATCGGCATACTGTGTCGTTCTAATTGTCATCGGAGATGCCCCGCAAATTGTGAGTCGGATGCCCAGTGATAGGCACATACGTTTCGGAACGTCAAGAGGCGTTCACAGCAGTTACGACTCCAGCATCACAAAGACCCATCAGCACCACAGTCAACGCGACATCTCCAAAATCAGGCAGCTCGCCAATGGAATTGCCCCGTGCCCAGTACGGGAGCCTACAGAACATGCTTCGGTGAGCGGCGAAAAGGACTTTCTTGTATTCGTGCCGCGTTGCTCCGCAGTTTACGTAGATTCATTTACCAGTCTGAACAAAGGGCAGCCGGTAACACCCGATCAACACCCACTTACATCTCTGGTTGTTCATCACAGAAGCATGTCGCTCTATAGCATTACCTCCAGTAACTGCTTGCGCCGAGCAGTGCTGTTACCGCCAGCACCACCGCGCAAATCTGAGCTCGATTGATCCGCTTGGGCCCGCAACTGTTCTTGTAATTAGAGCCACTATGATAGATGGCACACGCGTTCCATGCAAACCCTCAGATGCAGATGGGCGGTTCGCGGTCCACGTTACATCGTCAAACTCACCACGTTTCGCGCGGACGCCAGCCATCGAACTATATATGATCTGTTCCGACAAGGGCGAGGACCAGCTTCGAAGAGAGCGCAACCACCTGCGCGAGACGCATTTCCGCCTGGTAGGCAACCTCTACAACGACGGCTGTGACGACGCACAACCACCACTTCACGTACCGCACGCCCCACCACTGCAGCGCACTGCTACACCCAACACTGACTACGGCCCACACTCTGCTACTGTACTCCGTTGCGTGCGCAAGTCCATCGCAATAGACAGCACGAGATCACCAGCGAACGCCCACACGGGAGGTTCGTTTACACTGCCCTCTGGCTCGGCGCGAGTGCCTGCCTGCCCCTGCAGCCGCGGGATGGTCAGGCGCGGAAAAAACACAGACTCAATTAATCGTCGACTCCCAAGAAAATATTGGCAAATATGGGAAGTGGGGGGGAAGACAAAAACCCATACAATATTTGGAAATATGGGGAGTCCCGTTATTTGTGTGTATTTATTGGTGTCCCTGGGCCCCTTCAGATGGGTCCACATCGCAGGAAGAAACCGCATCGCGATAGCGTGCTAACCAGACGTCTTCTCGAGCTACTTCCAGTTCGTGCAGCAGCGCCTCCACGCAGAAGCCTCAAGTTGGAAGCGTGTGCGCTGGCGCGCGGGAGCCTTCAGTCCCTGGGACTGCGCCCGTGCGGCATGCTCTTCCGCCGTTGCCCCCAATACTGACGTGGCGGCCATCTTTCCGTGGTTGGCGGCGCGAGACCACGACATACGACGCCGGCAAACCATCCCCCAGATTTGAGAGGAAACTTTCCGGCGACACCGACAACAACGAGGCACGGCTCAACCGCCCAAAGTACATCTTCGACGGCGCGGAAGACGTCCTACGGGAGACCTTGTGCAGCATCTTCAATCATCAGAGCGTGAATTACCTACCCCGCTTTCGCTTCCAGGCAAAACCAAGTCATACCACGCGCCTCCTCGTCAAGCGGCCTGACCAGTACCGGCCGTAGTTTGGCATCGCTTGGTATCTCTTGGAACCGAGGGTGGTTAAAAGCGAGGTAGGTTTGTTTGCCCCTTGAATCAGTAAATCACCAGGTGTCTCGTTTTTAGTTGTCGAGGAGAGGTGGCGTGCGTTCGCCGCGCCAAGATATAGAAAGTAACATTTTGGCGTGCTCGATGACCAACGGCAATCACAACATAGACTCTGAATCTGAACAACCGACCGCCATTCGCCAACCGACTAGCCGACGCCCTCCATGCCTCGGGCACTGCAGCACTCAGGACTCACGGGCACATTGCTCCGCCGACGCGAAGATAACGGCTAAGCTACATGGAGCTCTTACCGACACCAGGCAACATAATCATCGAATCGCTTCGCTCATCCCGCCGGCCCGTGTTGTGCCAATGTTGGCGTTTGTTTGCGCGCGCGTTCGTGGGCCATGCGGCGCTGTTGGTCAGCGCTGCTGCGGTTGTGGTGAGAGTCCTCTGCTTCTCGGCGTCTCGGAGGGTTCTCGGGGGACTCCTGTGCATCCGTTTTAGGGGCTCTTGGGCGCCTCTTGGGGGCGCCTTGGGTGCCTCGCGGGGCTCTCTCGGCGCCTCTTGGGGGCCTCCTGGACTGTCGTGGGGGTGCTCTTGGGGGCCGCTTGCGGCCGCTCGGGAGCCCTTCGGAGGCCGGGGGGGAGGTGGGGGGCCCGGGGGGCGATTGCGAGGCCGAGCGCTCGAAATGTCCGTTGGGACTCCCTCGTCGGGGTCTTCTTGAAGGTGCCTTGGCGCCTCAAGCGCCATCTTGGGAGACTTGGGCCGTCTGGTGGGGCTCTCTTGGAGGCTCGATGGGTTTTGGGGCTATTGTGGGCCTCGGGGGCTGTCTCAGGGCGTTGGCGGCCGAAAAGGCGCGAACTTTGGAAACCATTTAGACCATAGAACATCTTTGAATTTGGCCTCTAGGGGTTCTTGGGGCCGGTCTTCGAGGCGTCGTCGGGCGTCTTGGAGGCGGCTGAGGCCGTCTAGGGGCTACTCGCACCAGCTAGCCCCGAGCGGCCCATGACCAGTGGGGAACTTGACCAGAGCCTGTCACTACTATGTGCCCGCGACGCTGCATGGCTCCTGTCATTCCGTCAGTCTAGACGACCCAACCCGCAGTCACCCGCGCCCCATGAGCGAAACTTTCAGCTGCGAGCCGCCGGGCCAGATCGGCGGGGTCGGCGCGAGCGCGCACTGCGGCCGTCCGCACTTCGATTGGACGCAGCGCGAAATAGACAGCGGCGCCGCCGACCGCGGCAAGGGCGACTTCGCCAGCGGCGGCGGCGAGCGTTACTCCGCCATGCAATCATCTAGCGAAGTCACCACCAACGGGGCCGTTTACCGCGCCCCAAGCTACAACGCCACTCGTCGACGACCGCGGTGGCGACGACGATGGCGGCAGCGGCGCTTGCAGATGCTTGCCCGTGCTATCCACATTAGCATCCTTCCCGTCGCGCCCGCGGCGCGACGTGCGCTGTCCAGTTGGTAGGGAGGCGTGCCGATCCAGTGCAGACAGCTGGGGGGAACATAGCTGGCGCTGCGTTTTCCACCGCGACGAGGGGGGCGACGCTTGCGTGCGCAGGTTGCCCAACGACCGTCTTGCATTCGGCTCGCGGCGTAGATGCCTCGACAAGTTCATCCGAGAGCAGTTCTTTAGCAACGAATTTTCCCGCGTTCTGCTGCGCCTCTCGCTGCGGCCGGGCGCGACGGGCGCGCCGCTATCTCGCTGCGAGCCCCCGCCAACAGAGCATGCGACGCGACTGACTCTCGAGGGTTCCACTCGAGCAGACTCGCATTTGCCGCCGTCGCAACCATTGCTAGGCTCGCCGTAATTTCGGCTGGGGGTGTCGCGAGACGACGTGTAATTCCAGCGTTGCGAGGTTCGTGACTTCCGCCTGGCCGTGAACCTATGTAGCCAGCGCGCCCGCGACAAGCTCAACATACGCGCGACGACGCTGGACTGCAGCGCTACTTCGGCATTCGTTGCGGCCCCGTGGAGGCTGCGTGCTTGGAAAGGCGGTGGCGGGGCGGCGAACCTATGCCACTCGACGCGGCGCCCTTGCGACAGGATATGCGCGGCCCAGTTTCACGGCCATGCTAGAGCAGTGAGCCACCTTCGGCATCGGGTTCAAGCGTCGGCAGCGGACGCTCCGACTCCGCATCTTCACCTGCGCCTCAGTTGACAGAGCCAACAAATCTAAGGTAGCAACAACGACCAACGAACGTATAGAGACAACGGCGCTACCGGCGCAACGGAGCATCCAGGCAGTCAGGGCTCAAGAGGCGGGGGTCAATGGTCCGCCAGGGCACCGGATCCCGCGGGATCCTGCGAATACTCCCTCTGGCTGACCCGGGTTAGCGAGCCGCTCGTGGCCGCGAGGCGGCCGCGCATATTGGCTGACCCGTATTTGCGAAGTTCTGCGTTGCAGTTTTTATCTTGCATTTCATTTTTTGTTTTCTTGCTGACCCAGGTCTGGATTTACCCAGGTCAGAAGATCCCCGAGGCAGACAATTGGATCGTCCGCAGCCCAATGCACCCGCCGCCACCTGCGCTCAAGAACCCCGTGGTCTGCTCGCCATCTAGCGCGCGAGCTGCGCCATTTCTGCGGCTTATCGAGCGAAGGCCGCCGACGACTGGCGGCGATCCGAGCGCGCTTTCCGCCCGAGGCTAAACCGTCAATTCTAGAACGACAGACATGTCCCACGCCGGTGTCAGTTGCGGACAGCCACTGCGACGCGATCCGCGCCGACGACGCAGGCGACCTGCAGCTGCAACGCTGCCTTAACGCGCTCTGCAACCACCGGCAGCAATGCCAGGAGTACATGGAATAAGTCAGCAGACGCAACGCACGGCTCTGGTCGACCCGCCGCCAGAGCAAGGCCACAGTCTGCCGCGCGATGAACCGCCGAGACCCATGCCAAACGTTCCGACATACCTGCCAGGGCAGGTTCCAACCTGGGGATTGAGGGCAGTTTCCGCAGGTCTCCGATCGCACGACTCCCATGACAGCTTCTGTTTGTACGAGCATGGCCGCCAGAAAACCGTGCTGAAAGGATTCCTTAATGCTCTGCTCTTTAGCGTTTGCACACCGCGGCTGTCGCATTCTGATCTCTGTACTGTTCGGGCCCACTACTTGCATTCCATGCCTTTCTCTTCGGCCGTGCAGCCACTTTCCTCTGGCTCTCGTTCGCGCGCTTTCGCTGCTATCAATGCGCGTGGCCTCCGCCGACCTCCCCTCTCTGCGGCAATTTCGCCGGCTACGGTAAGTTGCGTATTTGCCATTCGGTGGGGGGGGGGGGTCTTCAGCGCGCCCCGCTGTGGGCTGCCGACCGCAGTGGGCAGCGGCAAGTAGCGCGCCCCCTCAGCAGGTGAGCATCATTTTATACTGTATATGTATATATGTGTGTACATATAAACATACATGTATAAATACAAACCGCCAGGCCATCAACTTCTACTTGCCAGCGCCCTGACCTTCCCACCGCGCCTTCTGGTCGATTTGCCATGTGCGAGTTGACTCTTCCAACCGCGACTCTGCACTGCGACAGCGCGACGACCTCTGGCCAGCCATCGTTGCCTGAACCAGCCACTTTGCATCACCATCCGTGCGTGCTGACTCATCGAGACTGGGGCCCCCGGCTTGAGAAGCCATGTCGGGGGGGGGGGGGGGGTGTCGGATTCTTTTGAATGGGCGCCTGGAGCTCGGCCCGGGCTCGGC